GTTTTATGCAATATTAATACCATCGCTTTTTATTTGTCATTTGTTCCTTCAATCGACGGTTATATTTTTGTACTTTTCGAAACCATTGGGCATTCATCCAATGCAACATGTTTTATGTACGTTTAATATTCACTTATATTATAATATTTAATAACTTATACCAAATTACTCAGTTTTTTAAGTTAATCTTTTATTCACTGCATTTACGTTCTGCTGTGTAAGATTAGTTTACTACATGTACATCTGGTTCATGCAATTTCTATAGGAAATGATAATTATATTTTTAAAATGATGAAAAGGCTATAAAAACTGATAAACAACCCATCCTACTTTACTTATTAACATGAAAGTACTCTACATGACATCCGTCGAAAAACTCTAGAAAAATGGTCCTAAAACACACTTGGATGATTTTCTAGTAAATATTTGACATCAATGAAATAAAAAAAAATTTATATATTTGTTATATAATACAGGATTTTGCATTCCTGATATGAGCACAGGCACGCGCCCTGTATTACACAACCTGTATCAGCACCCTTTATTTCACCCTTTATCACACCCTTTATTACACCTTTCCGGAACATCTCTATATTTTTCATTCGGAGTACCTCGTATCTTTTCCTATTTCTTTCCAAAGTTTATTCAAATTGTAATTTTATTTCATGAGACATTTTATATTATTCAAAATAATTATTTGTTTAATTTATCGCTGAATGCATTGCCTTTGGGGAAAAAATGAGAAACGGAAATTCAACAAAAACAGAACACATTCAATTATTAAAAACTCAGTAATTAATTTACAAGTTTATATATGATTTAATTTTTTAGACACTATTTTCAAATATATAATATAACAATACATGGCAAAATCTGTATCACATCCCATATCAACCCTCGACCAATATCAGTCCTCTGGCCTTCTCTGGAGTCTCGGGTTGATATGGGATGTGATACAGATTTTGCCATGTATTATTCTCTATTTATTACATGCTAGTAATAAATACAGGATTTTTGCATAAGTGATATGCCTGACGTCACAATAATCGTATCAACCCTGCAGGGCTGATATGGATCTGCAGGGCTGATACGGATTAATATCACAACTCTAGTCAATTAAACCTTTAAAAAAAAAACATTACATGTGATAATACACATATTTTTTTGGTTCACATTCTCCTAATTTTAAATTACTGTTCTTTGAAACAATAAGTTACCTATTGTGAGTAGTCAGTGCATGATTATTTATTTGTATTTTTCTCAAGTTGTTGTGTGCTGTATTTTATTACTAAGTATGTAATAAGCATAATAAAACATATCCTTTTCCACATCACATCCTGTATAAGCCCTAGACCAATATCAGCCCTCAGACATACGGCCCTCTGGCTGATATTGGTGTCTCGGGCTGATACAGCATGTGATATGGAAAAAAGGGTATGTTTTATTCTCTATAAAGTTGATTGGACCAAACATTATATGTCTTTCAAAAATCTACTCCTCCTACAGTTTGGTGTGATTTAAATATAACTTGGCACGTAGACTACAATGAGATACATCATTCTATGTATCGGTTTCTGATTTTGATAAATGATGTTGACATGGTTACTAAAAATAGAAATTTCTGTAAAATTCTTTCAAATGGCTACACTTCCTACAGTCTTAGTCTGATTGCAATAAATCTTGCCACAAAAAGTGACTAAACCAAGGATCATTATTCTATTTATTGCTGTTGCAAAGATTCAAGTCCAAGTAGTAATTTTCTCTTCCTTTATTATAAGCACAAACCAGTAGAGCCACGGTCTCGTCAAAGACTTCTGGTTTACATTTACTCTGGTAAACATTGTTCAAATTATCATTATGAACATTAATCTATTAGACTTATTGCTGATTTCTGAAAAAAAAGTTTGTTTGTGTTAGTATTCTTAAAGGTACTTAGACACAGATTTGAAGTTAATATTTTCTCAAATTTTCTGCATAATATCACGACTTATATATTGCAATAGCATTTCACACGAAAATATAATTAAAAACTTATTTTATCTAGAAATTATTGGAACTACGAATTCCTAGACGCGTTTGATTAGCACATCATTGCACTTTCACAAATTTTATCTTTATCCTTAATATTTAAGAAAAGAAGCGATTTTGTTGTGCATTAATGAAAAACATTACATCTATAATTCAGAAAATTCAGAGTAGAAATGTGCGAAAGCAAACCCTCTCACTAATATCGTCAGCCCGTGCTCAGTGTTGTGTACAGATCTTAACAAATTGAATACACCCGTGAGACGTAAACTGTTTTTGTAAACAGGGCACGAGCTCTGTTATTGTTAATGTTTACGATTCACCGGGTGTGTTCAATTGTTAAAGTCTGCACACACCACTGAGCACGGACTGACAATACTGTGAGTGGGTTTTGCTTTCGAACATTTCTACTCTGAATTTTCTGGATTATAGTTCTAATATTTTTCATTAATACACAACAAAATTGCCACTTTTCTTAAGTATTAAGAATAAAATTAAAATTTGTGAAAGTGCAAGGATGTGTCAATCAAACGCGTCCAGAAATTTGAAGTTTCAATAACTTCGAGATGAAATAAGATTTTTATTTTATTTTAGTATGAAATGCTATAGCAAAATATAAGTCATGAAATTATACAGAAAATTTGAGAAAATATTAACTTCAAATCTGTGTCCAAGCACCTTTAATAATTCTTATTACTAGTATTTCTGCAAAATGAATCAAATTCTTTTTTTTTCTTTGTTGCCATCTCTTCATTGTATTAGTAAAGTAATAATCCAAATACATTCAATAGGTTATTGTCAAAATATTTCTTATCTTTATGTTGATGAATTGATTTAATTATTCAGTCATTCATTTATTTATTTATAAAAATCTTTAAATTCTGTATTTTCTTTTTATATCTTATCATCCAAAAATGTAAATCATTTATCTTTTTAATGGTTATTGATATATATGTATGTATTTTAAAATTGTTGATTAAAATTAAATTAAAAAATTTGGCTAGGTGGGAATAAACCCTTTTGATGCTTTTTTAGTATCTTAATTTTCTTTTAAACACACCTTGGATGATTTTCTTGTACATTATTGAAATCAAACTTTCACCTATCCAAAGTTACACATTTGATGATTTTCTAAAACCTATTTGAAATCAAATTCACCGTTTTAAATACATTCTTGGGTGATTTTTTTTATTAACTGTTTGATATCAAAAATACTTAGCAGAGATACACTGTTATAAAAAGCTACTTTTCCATCATGCAGCTTGGCAATATCTGCACTGCAACTGAGAGACAACGATTCAGGTATCGAACGAATGGTGTATCTTGTAGAGCATACTCGTATATCACTAGAAGAACTTATATTAGAGAGCCCAAATTGGAAATGTTGAATTAAACTTCATCATTCGGTTGAGTGCTGTTCGTATTCTCAAGATCTGCATGACATCAAACTAATTGATCCCCTTTCTTTGATCTTTTGTTCCTGACAGGGAGAAAATTAGTCGGTGAAAGACCACTGTGTGTATTATAAAGCTATGTGTAGCGCTCTACCAGGGGGTGTGTCAATGTAAATAAAACTTCTCAGCTTACAAAAGGCATATGTTCGAAGTGTTTACTCGATAATTGTGTCTAAAAACAGCTGCAGAGTTTCAGTTTAAAATAAATTTATTTCCCATTTTCTATTCTATTCATAATGGGCATGACATTTCTTAAAAGACACCTACAAAAAATTTCAGAACTATATTTTAATTGGAATATTACAATTCGAATGAAAATGAAGTGATAGAGAATCGAATCGTTTCTAAAATCGCGACACATTCCGGAACTTGGATTATACTGTCTAATTCGAATGCCAGTTAATTTACTAAAGTTTGCACCATTGAATATTAATGATACAATCAGGAATTCTCAGTGGGATAAGATATGACACAGAAATTAGGCTGAATAGCTAGCTTTGATGGAATCAACAAATACTGTTCATTGGAAGACATTGTCTGTTTACATGGCTAAATTGTTATTTTATTCATATTCAGTTTAGTATGAGTTAATGTTATCAATCAATCAATCTACGCAATTCTAAGCTATTTAAGGAAATAGAATACTCAAAAAATATGCTATCGAATTTTGTATATAAAAAAGAAATCTGTACACGATATATTAATGCTAAAACACATATTTATACGAAGTTTTCATACAAGCAAACCGTATTTTTTTCATTCTTTGCAAGTCATTCATTTTACATCTGTATTGAAATTAAGGTATTCAATGTATAATGAAGGGATTTTGAACAATTTTGAATCATTTTAAACTAGTTAAAAATGCACTGCTAGATAACGATGAAAGTGAAATGAACCAAATTCACATGACTGATAACATAAAAGAAGCTGGTCATTTTGCACTTTGAAAGTTTTTGAAGAGTTATCTGCCCTGATGCAAAGAAGAAAATTTTAATTTCGTCAAATTATCTGTGGTAAATGATTAATTTTATTTCATATTTTAATAAAGAGAGAGTGTATGCATATTTTCACCAAGAGTTTTTATAAAATTCAAAATACTTTTTACAATATCTTAATAACACGTGCATTGCCCATAGACTTCAATGTAAAATTCAAGGTGCAATTAATTTGACAATAATCAAAATTTTGTAAATTTCTTTGGTGGAGTATTTTTATTTCACAACACCTTCAAAATGATACCATAATTACAAATATAGGACTGTTCATTTATAAGATACAAAATACGGTCGTTATACATTGAATACCTTAAATACAAAAGCATTGTTCAACATTGAAATTCCTCCAAAATAAATGTGAATTATTTCAATTTTACGATGTAACAAATTTATTTGAATCTAAAAATAAAATACAAAATGCCGTTGGGATATTTCTTTGTCAACAGTGTGCAAAATGATTATTTGTATAGTATCATGATTATTATATCAGTATATCATGTCACGTGGTGTTTTCTTTTGATTTCAGATTTGTGGCCATCGTGTTTCCTATCAAAGCCCAGATTTTGTGTAACCGAAGAAAGAACTTCATAGTCGTGTCATTGATATGGTCCGTCGGCATAATGTATGGCCTACCCACTGCTCTGTACAACCAAGTTATTCCCGTCCCTCTTCGGAACTTCTCGCTGTGCTTGACGTCATTTCCGAACATGCTCGATCAGCACATTTACAAATTTTCCGAATTTGCATTGTTCTACTTTATTCCTGTCTGTATTCAAATTGTGCTTTATGCGATCATTGGACAGCGGTTGTACGTCAGCACGAGTGAGCTTCACACCAAATTTCAGATGAGGAAGGACACGAGCTGTAAGTCTGACCGAGCAGGCGACACCATTAAGGCAAGAAAAGGTGTCGTCAAAATGTTAGCGGCCAGTGTCATTGTGTACACAGCTTGCTACGCCCCGCCCCAAGTCTTACTTTTCTACAATGTTATCTCCAACACAAAGTTTCAACAGACTTGGGAATTTGTGGCGATAGTCCACGTGATTGCGTATATTAACTCAGCCGCAAATCCTATCTTGTATAGCATATTTAGTCAGAATTTCAGGAAAAATTTCAAGAAATGTTTAAAATGCATTTGTTTAAAAAGCAAAGAGAAGTATACTCGAGTTATGTTTGACTCGTCAATGGAATCTTCAAGGATGCTTTCCGGAAAGGGCAGCCAAAAGACCTCTATTTCTCGTGTATAATGAGCCAGAAAATTCTATATCCACTCAAGTCTATATGTCTACTCCAATGTGTATTCATCTCTAACATTTATTTATGTCAATGTTGAATGTAGTTCTACTCAGAAATGCTATCTTAATATCAGTCATATTTGATTATAGATTTGAGAATTTTGGAATTTTCCCATATTCAATGCATCATGCAAAGTCAAATACTATCCATTTTGAGGGAGGTTTACAAAAAATTATTGTAAGCAACATCTAAGCCTCATGATATCCGAAACATTTCATTTGATGAGGAATAAATACCATAATATTGATATAACTCCCAGTTCATCATTATAAAGCACCCCCGCTTTTATAATCTTCCCACTCCCTTAAAGAACTACACCACAGTCTTCAATGTATAATAATGTCCAGAGTCCTTCGAGGCTGAAGTTGTTTCCTGTAGAGATATTAAGTCGATGATGTTGCACCCTTATATTTACTGTCCTAAAAATGTTTACTAGTTATGTCTCAAGTTATTTTTACGTCTTAAATCTGCGAAATGGCACATTACTTGTTTAGTGTTAGAATGTATATGTAATAAACTTAGTTGACAAATTAGTTTTTATACAGTTTTAGTCGTTTTAATTAAACAAAAGATGTTAGAAAATAAAAATATTTGTCAAGAAAGTTTTTAAAAAACGTGACATTTAACACGATGTTGGAAAGAATTGTTTAATTACATGTATATATTTTAAGTAGATTATGCAATAAAGGAAAATGAATAAGTGAAATGGAATGCATGTTAAACAGGAGGTAGGAAAGAAAAAAAGTTAAGTAAACTGGTAAATAAACGGCAATGACCAACTGGAGACAGTCTTTCTGCACAGTTAATACACGTGTACTTCTGTCCTTACTGTTTTTTTTCCCAAAAGTTTCAATGAAATCTTTAAATCAAATATGGAGATTATGAACAATAATCAAGCTCAAAAGTCCATAGAAAAAATACAAATCAGGAACAGAGCAAATACTGAAATCTAACAACATCAGAGGTGGGTTCAGGTGCCATGGAGGAGTAAACATCCCCTGCCGATCGGTCACACCCACCGTATGCCCTTTTTCATGATCGAATAAACGGAGAAATCCGTAGTCAACTCAGTGTAGTTTTAGAAATTCTTCGTACGAAGAACACGCGCTTGCGTATGGAATCAAATGGGAGACAAAATTATTCACATAATCAAAAAAGACTACAAATTTGATAGACGTTAGTCGACAGTGATATTTTGTAGCTGATTTATACTGTAAGTGTATTGTAATTCTGCGGTATCTGTATAGCGAAAATACATACAGTGATTTTAATCCATAATGAAAGTTTCTACAATATGTATAAAACAGAAAGTAATCAAGAGTGGTGTCCTGTCACACCTTTATAGTGAATATTTTTTAACGGTATCGACGAATCATACGTTTTGGTAACCATTTCATCCCTCTGAAAGATTTCTAAAATTGACTTCTTTTCCTGGTAAAGCTAGCACTCTGCAGAAGGAAGATTTTGATTTGTTTAAAGATTCTATGTAGATAAAGTACAAGGAGACAATACAGACTGATTTACTAGAAATATTTTTTTTTTTCCTTTGTACCATTCAGTCAAAAATAAGGAAACTTACAGAGCTACCAAATAGACGTTTGTTCGATCTTTGAGACTATAACCGCTTAAAAAAGAGAACATAATTTTATTTCGAAAGATAAAACTAAAACAAAAGTAAAATTTACCAATTTGATTTTTGTGAACTCTTATACAAAATTATGTGCAAGTTTCTTCGAACCATGGCCTGGGGATCAGCTAACGTATGAGATCGCGGAAACAGAATTTTTTGTGTTTTTTTTGACAAGAAAGGAAGCCGAATTTATAATTTGTCAAATTGTTGTTTATAAGCTTCTCCATTTAGTGTACGTTACTAAAATTTGTTGGAAACGTTGGGGTCTATATATTATAAATAAGACTCAAATTATAAATATCTCTCAAGAGCAAAAAGATTACAACTTGTCTAATCACTCACACTCTAAATAATATTTTTTCTATCCATGTATTAATAATGAATAGCAAACTTAAGCCAATCTGATTTAATCAGGTCGCTACACATAACTGTAAAGCGACTAAAGAGGATAAAAGATATGACTTAAAGTTTGCTCAGGGTTTTAGTTACTTATATCCGTAGCTCTCTTTTTGAGGAGAAAACTCCTCAAAATTATTTGTCAGTTTTAAATATTTCTAACATTCCCAACAATCAAATTGAACTTGAATTACTATAATTATGCTGGATTCCTAGACAATGTAAAATCCTTACAAAGATACATTGTGGGTTCCAGTAAATGTTCCACCAAGCCTCTTTCTTTACAACTCACTTAAATGTTAGCAACAGTGAAGGAGAAACCTTAGGAGTACTGTTCATCAAGATATTCTAGAAGTGATGTAAATCAGATGTGAATACTTAAAACTCCAAGGAACTTTTGAAATCACAAAATTTTACCAAAATCAATAACATTAAGTATAAATTTAAGTCCAAACTTTTTGAAATCATAGACAGCTGCCTTTTCAATAAGAATGGAACTCGTAAATTTATTTACCTTTTCATTGGTCATTTCGAAAATTATTCTGTTAAAAAACGTTCTGATTGTACACACAAGTACTCCGAAGTTGATATTTAAAAAAACTCTTGAGTTTCTGATTGACAATATGTATATAGTTGTTGGAGATCCAAGTCTTCCAAAAATCTGTCGGAATTGCCATGGGTACCAATTGCGACCCGTTTTAGCAGACCTATTTTTATATTCATATAGGCAGAATTTATTCAAAAACTTCTACATGAGAAGAAGAAAACACTTGCTGTGGCCTTCAACTCGACATTTCGATATATCGACGACGTATTATCAATTTACAATTGTTACTTTCATTCATATGTCGACTCGATATATCCCAGTGAGCTTGAAATAAAAGATACCATAGAGTTTGACACATCTGTTTCATATCTGGATATTTTACCAGAAAAAGGCGTTAATGTTAATATAATAACACAACTTTATGATAAACATGATGACTTCAACTTCTCTATTGTCACCTTCCCTTATTTATAAATACCCTTATCACCTGCATAAAGAGTTTATGTCTCCAAGTTGATTTGATACGCAAGAGCATGCTCCACGTATGAACAATTTATTGACAAACAAGTTGATGAAACAAGGATATGAACAGTTTCACTTGAAATAAACGTTAGTCGATACAATGACCTTGTCAGCAAGTACAATCTATTATTAAGTCGAATGCTGACTGACATTTTTCAAACAAATTGTTAGACAATATTTACATACTGAATTGTCTACAGATTTTTCCGTTAACCCGATCATGACCAGGAGCACACAGCGGGTGTGACCAGTCGAGAGGGAATGCTTACTCCTCCATAGCACCCGATCCCATCTCTGATGCTTTCAGAGGTCCGTGTTTGCTCTATTCCCGATTTGTATTGTTTCAATGGATTTTTCTATTTGATTACTGTTCGTTATCTCCATATTTCATTGACAGAAACGGATTGCTATAAAGTTCAACTTAAATTAAAACAATGTCATTAAATAATATCAATTTCAAAATTGAATATTTACTATCTGACGCAAATACGCAACAACAAATATATATTTATGGCATGGAAGAGGAAAATTCGAACTAATTTTTAAATTTTCATTTTCATTTTTTTTTCAATATCGTTTTGCAAATAATATGTTTGATTAACATATGCTCGTGTATTATTCAGATAATAAAGACAAAATAAATGCATGCAAAGAAGAAAATCTGAAATATGAACAAAAGCCATATCAAACAGCATATTTAAAAGATTTTTATCATTAATCTTATATAATTTTCATACCAGCGGAATAAGGACAATACACAATAAAATGAGGCTAGAAATATTGAGTTCTCATCATTCATTTTTCCAAAATTTATTTATCTATTTATTTTGGAAATATTAGAATTAACAATGGGAGAACTTAGAAAATTGACAGAGGAAATTTGAACTGGAATATTTTATTATTAAATTTATAGACCAAAGTCTAATTGTCTAATCTATTGTACAACGCAATCCCTATTTTCATTATATTTCATTACCAAAGAGTTATGATACTTGCTAAATTTTGCGTAAGAAGAAATTCTACGTTATAGTTTTTTTGTTGTTGTTGTTTTTGTTTTTGTTTTTATTTTATTTTATTTTTATTTTATTTGTCGCCCGCGTGGCGCAGTGGTTAGAGCGTCTGCTCTAGAGTCGCGAAGTAAGGAGTTGATCCTTAGGTCGCGGGTTCGAATCCCACTGTGTGACGTGGAGACCGGTCCTTCGGATGAGACCGTATAAACCGAGGTCCCGTGTCGCAGTAGGTGCTGGCACAAAAAAGATCCCTCACTGCTCAAAGGCCGTAAGTGCCGAGTATAGGACAAAATTTGCAGCTCTCCACCGGCAAGTGGTGGCGTCTCCATATGAGTGAAAAATTCTCGAGAGGACGTTAAACAACATACAAACAAACAAAAAAATCATTTATTTATTTATTTATTTATTTTGGTCATTTTTGACAAATACGTAGAGGCCACTAGCATGAAAAAATTAAAATGCATGTAAATTAGACGAAGAAATACACTGTACGATAAATAGTTTTAGTAATTGATCAGATGTATGCTAAATATGCTTAATTTGAACTGCTTTTTTACTTTCTGCGAGATTTGATTAACTTAGAGAGAGTCAAGTGGTAAATGTTATTGAAACATTGAGGTAAAAAAAGTATCTGTCATCAATCTTGAAATTTCATGAATTATTTATCATTAAACGGCCATGAAAGTTTGGTATAGTGCACGTTAATTATCTCACGACTTGTTTTTAAGAAGAAAAAAAAGACTGATTTTCGCTATTTACGTGCCCTATTAGAAAAAAAAATACTTCACATCAAATTTAAGGCCGAAATCATTCAACGCTTGTATACATTTTAAGTTAAAGATCATCAAGTTCTAATTTCTAATAGCCCATAAAAACTCGATTGAATTGAAAACATTATTACTGCTACTTAACATTGTCAAAAGTTGAGATCACAATCCATCGTGAAAGAAGAGAATTTGTCGTATAACTTATGTACAACTGTATACAGGCAGAATGTATTAATGTTAAAATTTTGAAATTCAGAGAATCCAAACCTAATTTTAGTTAGTTTTAATTTTTTTTCTTTAGAGTGACATTAGTATCACATAAAATTGTTTAAAAGTTGACAAAGGCCAATTTTACAGACATTGAAAATTAGAGAGAATTTAACAATCACCGGAAGAATCTGATACTTATCAATAGAAACAGCTTAATATGGCATTATTTAGATTTAAAAAATACATTTCATATCAGAAGAGTGTGCACAAAATATTGGTCATTATGATTCCTTCTTGTTGGATTCAGGAGAAAGGAATGACTCATTTATAAATTATTTTTAGCAGCTGGAAGAATGGAAATTATTGCTAATGAAAGGCTAAGAAAGGTTACTATGTTGACAGTATACACAGATAATTAGCTGCAATAATGTGGCCCTCT